TCGAAAATCACATCAGTTAAAGACTTCAAAACGTCAAAATTTTCTAAAAAAACAGGAAGTTCAAATGCAATTTGTTGGGTTTTAGAATGTTTGTTTTCATAGGTTAGGACAACAACAGAAACCTCATGCTATCTCGCCTGAAAGCAGAACGCCGACAATGTCGTAAAATTGGGGTGTTCGCACGAAACAAAGGGATACATAGAACATTTGAGGGTGTGAGGAAATCCAGGCCTGAGAAGCTAAAAATGGGCAAGCTAGCAAAGGCCATTTGAGGATAGAAAAATATAGGAATTTGCTAATTCGACCAAAAAATTAAAGCCGACTGGTTAGGGGAAGGCGAGTGGTAGGCTCCAAAAATCATCAGAAAACGTTTTTTTTTTTGTTTTTTTTTTTGCAATAAAAAATCAAGGAATCGCAAGTCACAAGCTGTTTGCCAATGGCGAGCTAGCAGAGATTCTTAAGAAAATTTTTATCGAAATCGGGATTTATCAATGAAGTCCCTGAAGTCAGAAAACGCTGAGGAAAGCAGGCTAGCAGTGATTTTTGAGGAAGTTAGCTACATAATGAATCTCTAGACGCACAAAACATTTTCTCCAATAAGGGCAGGCTAGCAGAGATCCTTTGCAAATCACAGCTCATAAGGTCAAAGTCCAAAAGACCATCAAAACACCTTTAGAGCCATCAAACCACCTCCCCACCGCGCTAAACGTTGCCCCAGGCAAAATTCGTCACACTAAAGTCGGTCAGTTCCTAGGGGGAGAGTGAGGGTGGGGGGCAAGCCGGGGGGTAAATGTGCACTATGCACATAAACCGGGGCCAGCGGGAGGTATGGAATGCCCCCGGGGGCACAAACCGGGCAGTTGAGAGCCGAAATGATGGATCAGAGACCCAATGGGGGCAAGAGATCCATATAACCTGAGAAATATCGAAAAGCTTAGGAAAAGAGCGCCGCCTAGGGCCCAGGGCTTGGGCCCCAAAGTCAGCTGTTCCGGTGGGTGTCCTCGATGGAATTTACCGAAAAAAACCTAGGAAAACCTAGAAAAGGTGAGAGTTTGGGATGAGGGGGACAAAGAGCAGTGATGGGGTGAGTGACAAGAAAATGCTACTAGCCATGGATCAAGGATGAAGGAGGGGAAAGAGGAGAGCGAGAGCGAGAGAGAGAGAGGGGGGGAGAGAGGGAGAAAGAGATAGTGAGATAGAGAGAGAACAAAAACTATGCGAATTTCGGCTGTGGAATTCGAAAGCTTTCAGCTCTAGACGCAGTACCACGGCAAGAAAAGTATCGTAAAACATAGATCAAATTTGGAAATTAGAAAAAAACGTCTAAGAACCCACTCTTCATGCGACTGGCACAACCGGATTGTCTTCCCGACGCCACTCCGGTAGACGCTCAGCCGCTTCTTCGGCAGCTCGAGCAGGAAGAAGATGGCGTCGAAGCCTGAAAAGAGTATTTAGTACGCTTTGGTTAATTTTTACAACAATTTTAATAAACCACTAAACGCTAAGCAGTCTTCGAAGTGTTTTTAAGCAATATTTAGAAATCGAGCGTACCTTGATCGGTCTGTTGCAGCTGGCAAACCCTCGGGTTCCGGCCGACGCTCTGATAGATGGAGGCGCCGCGGGACAGCGAGAAACCGATTACGCCCTGAAAATAAGAGCATGACTTCACCAAAAAAACTTAATCAAAGCAGTATGCTCTATTTACCTACCCTACGGTATATTTTCCAAGCAAGCATATGTGCTCTTTTAACCAAGCCAGAATTTTTACCCGGTTGCTTTTTTAGAAAGTCTTTGAAGCTACGATACGCTCAATTTTTTTACGCTCCAAAGCATGCTAGCTTTTTGAAGCCAAAAATCTAAACTAAAAAATACATAATTGCAATTCTTTTATCAAACCCACATTTTTATCGGCGTCCTCGTTGCTCGAGTCGGCGAGGTGGGTGATCTTGTCGGGGACCGTGAAATTCGACAGGATCAGGTCGAACGTGCCGCCGTCGGTGTAGCCGAAGCTCGTGAGCACGATGTTTCGACGGGCGTCATCCTAAACTCAAGAATTCTAGAGCTATTTGTTTGCATAAATCGTTATTGAGCTTTCACACAGGTCGTAAACTCTAATTCACCAGCTGGGAGCCTGGGAAAGTGACTGATTAGCATATTTGCATCGGAAGTTCAGGCAATAATTTACTTCCGGATTTTCAGAATTTGGATACTTTCCCTTAAAATTTGATTGTATAAAAACAGCAAATCTGTTTATGCAAGCTTATCACTAGGGTAAATAGTAAAAAACGGTACGATAAGAAGACAATGGCTTGATCGGTCGTATTTACACTTTGATTCTAGGGATTCCAGGGGTAAAATAATCACTTTTTTTTGCGAAAAACCAAAGCCACGGTTGGTTATATAAAAAGCACTTCAAAATATCTATAGAATTTTCAATTCAATTTATTTTTACAAACCTGTAGCGCCAACTGATGGATTTTCCCGGCCGCCAACTGCAGTAGTGGCAGGAAAAGGAGTACTGGCAGGCTTTTCATACCCTGGAATTGTTCCTATTAAATTTCCTTCCAAACAGAAAGCTCAATTAAAGAAATGGAGAGTTCATAACATGTCGTAATCGATTGCCTCGTCAAAAACACTAGGAAAAACACCGAAAAATATGCTCTGATCTCGCCGATACCCAGGTCAAGGTCGTTGCTAAACCGGGAGGTTCGCAGGGGCGGGCGTCATAACTTATTTTCAGGAAAAAGGGATTTGAGAAAAATAATAGAGAAAATCATGTTAGAGATAAATGGAATTTACTAGATTTGTAAGACATAACAAATTTTGAGGACTAACGCACGGGGATACGCAAAATAGAACGAAAACTTGATAAAAAGATAAAACACGTCGTCCATAGATATTTTGCTTGCTAAAATAAAGCCTAAATGCTGAAATCTATGGTTATGAATTCTATATTTTTTAAATTTAGTTAGAAAAGGAAAAATCAATCAGAAAACGCATCAGATTACGCCAGTTCAATCCACAAACGTCCGAATTACAGAAAACATAGTTCCGAGTTCATTCACGCAATTGCAGAAAATCACAGTGATACATCGTTAAACAGACATAATAAAAAGAAGATATATAAAATCACGAGATCCAAGGTTTTATAAGTTAAAAAATAGTTTAAAAAACGTCAAAAGACAAGCAAATTCGTCCAAAACGCCCGAATTTCTGCTATCTTTAGCCTATCTAAAGAAAAGTACGATTAAACATCGCTAAAACCGATCATGCAACAGGAAATACATGAAATTACGATAGATTGAGTTTCCCTCGTTAAAAATAGGGATAAAAACCTGAAAATACAACTCCGAACGTCTACAATCGCGCTAATTTTCGAGTGTCTAGAGGAGAAACAGCGAAAAAATCCTTCAAAATAACTCAAAAACATCAAAATCTAACACAAAGGAAAATCCAGACAGCTGTCTGGCCCTCCTAGGGCTTGGCCCCTAAAATAGGGCCCACCCTCGCCCAAATTGATGGTAATTTAGCGGGGCTAAGGGTGTTTTGAGGGGGGCGGCCGGCCGTTCAGCCCATTTCCGAGACCCCCGTTCGACGGCCCGGGCAAATATTAGTTGAAAAGGGCGCGACGCGCGGCCCCGGGGCGTTGCGTGCCCCCGGTTGGGAGGTCCTTTTTGGGGTCTTCTTTCACTGCTACTGGGCTACTGAAAAAGGGCAACGCTTTTAGAGGGCTGCGAAAAATGAGGCAACGAAATCTGCTGCAGCGATTGTTGGACGAGCGGGGAGAGCTTTTGCCAACAACACACACGGACAGACACGCGAAAAGCATGCATGGATGAGGGCGCTGCGCATCCCCCATGTTGCGAAAGTGGGGAATAAAAAGGCCTTGGAAAACTGAGGGGAAAATGGTAAATTGGGGATAGCGATAACGAAAACTAATTTTTTGTCATGTTACATTTGTTACCCTCTATTCATTAACTGAACAAGCTTTCTAAAAGTTATTTGCAGTGTTAGAATTTTCACATTTTTAGGTAAAAACCGTACGTTTCCCGAAAAGTTTCTAGTAGACCTCCCGAATCCCCCATTTACCCCCATACTGTGGGGTTGGTGGGGTCATAGGGGGTTGCGAGGGGGTAGGGTGGGGTTGGGCGGGGTGTTCGAATGGGGGTTTTCAGGGGTGTTGAAAAAAAAGTTGAAAAAGGCTGTAACGATTTTAAACCTTAAAAACATTAACTTAAAATAGCCAGAATTTTGCCCAATGGGGGTCTTTGGGGGTTGGAATGGGGGGTTCGAGTGGGGGGTCCATTGGGGGTTGGTAAGGGTGTCTGTTGGGGGGTTTTGGGGGTGTTGCGTGGGGTCAAATGGTGTCTTTGGGGGTAATGGGGGTTCGGGAGGTCTAGTTTCTAGGCTTTAAAAATAGCTAATTTACATAGTTTCGCAAAGCAGTTACAGTTCGAAAAATTATTATGATATTTTCTTGAGGTTCTACGCAAAATAAAACAATTTTTACACCCCGGAAAATTATTTCGGAAGCCTAGAAAATCTTTATTAGTCGGCTTTAAATCAGATAATCCCAGCCGACCCCACCTACCGTATCCGGAGCCCTGTTCATCTACAGGTGTGTAAAGTATACCAAAATACTCGCCACAGCAAGACGAACATTTTGGTATACCTTATACACCTGTAGATGAACAGGGAGCCGAGATACAAAAGTTGGGTGCCGGCTGGGGGGGGGGGGGGGTTGTCTGGAGTCTTACCTTTATTAGCGTCTTTGGCATTTTTAACGGATGGACGGACCAAAATTCAAACCTTACCAACCACTTGTACACTTCACACGTGCAGGAATGAGCTGGAAATTTATGGCAAGGAAGCCGCATTTTTATGCAAATTCAGCGAATTTGAGAGAAGAAAATGCCAATTACATGGCTCAAGTAACTTTATTCACAGTGTAGTTTTTTTTGTGCAATCCAACTCGCCTTGTTTCAATAAATATCTCTCTAATGCGGCCAAACGAATGGTTTTGCCGCTTCGTAGTGTCCATCCATGAGGTCGAGGCCGGTGTTTTGCAGACCCCGCTGTCGCTTTGGTGGTAGCTTATGGTTTTCGAAGGCAAAGATGGCGGCCTTGGCGGAGGCTTCTTTCATTTGAAAGTGGTCAAGCTTGGTGTATTCCTGAAAACAAGTAGAAATTCGGAGCTAGGGTATCAAAAAGCCATTAAACTACCTTAAAAAAACAAACGCGGTATAGGAAAAACCAACTAACCATGTGGTCATCTTCATGCGGGATAATCGACGTCATTCGGCCCCAGGTCATCGTGTGCGGGCCAAGCACGTTGTCATCTGAATTTAAAGTTACGCTCCACTACGGTACACTACACATCACCACACTATAATAAGCTACACTACGCCCTTAACCTATCCCAGGCTGAGGTACGGTGAGCACGATACGCTGGATACATTGCGCTAAGATCAGCGTGCGTCTACATTGCGCAACGTTACGCACCACTACGATAAGCTACGAGTCCTGACACTAACATACGGCGCAATACGCTATTGAGTTACACCAGGCAATCTTGCGGTAAGCCCGAATGCGCTTTCCTACGTTACGCTACGATGTGTTACCTGGCGTTACTTGTGGTACGTTACGCACCACTACGCTACGTGCCAATACGTTCCGGAACGCTTCGTAGCTTAATTTTACCCGGATCGTTATTATACTAAACCTTTTAAGCTTGGCTTTACGCACCGTGACTGAAAAACGAGAACACATATCCGGCCTCCTTCTGCACGGGGCTGTTGTTGATGCTCCGAAGGAAGTCTCCGTACTGCATATCACGACATTCACCCTCGGCAGCCTGTGCACACTGACGGTGAAGTTCACCACCGCAAGTGCCACCTGGCCAGAAGCCGCCCTAAAAATTTCCAACTTTGAGGATTAGGTACGATCATGAACTCTCGCTTAAATTTTCGTGAAGCTAGAGAGAAAGCGTGAGAGAGAGAGAGAAGCTATCTTTCACTTACCGTCGGATCACAAGATCCCTTTCCAGGCATCGTCACGCACATACACATCCCGAAATGAGCTCCAGCTACTCCGATGAAGACGTCGATCTTGTCGTTGATTGGACTGCCGAGGTCGCAATGGTCTTCGCCGGGGAATTCTACCTAAAAAAGAATAGGTAATAAAGAATGTAGGTGATAAAAAGCAGCTGATAAATTCGAGTCATCAAATTCAAGGAATTCAAATCATCTTCTTCAGATTTTCGCCAAAATTTAGGAAAAACTCTTCGTTTGGGAAAAGGTCTTAAAACAAACCAGTCCACCCTTCGCCAAACTCCTTGCAATCGTCGCTCCCATCGAGTGTCCGATAATGTTCACTTTCGGGGCTGCCGTGTAGTCGAGGACGTTGAGCACGAACTCGCGATGGCCCTTGATCCATTCGCAGCTCATTTTGCTGAAGAAACGGGTTGAAACTTGAACTTAAGGAGTACGAAGCGTTACTACTCACGTATCGGCAGCCAGACTGATATTTCTTGCTCCATAAGTCAACCCATAGAGTTCAGCAAAGGTGTAGCCGGCCTCCAAGAAGTGGGGAATCGCTGCCGTCCAGCCTTGCGACATTAGTGCGCCGGTGTCCAGAGCGGAATCGGCATTTCCGTGGATGAAGATGACTGGGGTTTTTACGACCTAAAAGATCACGTTTAGCATGGGTAATTCAACGTTTTCAAGAGTTTGTTGAATTCCAAATGCGCTCAAGAAAATTTTAGCCTAACATATAGTTTTATGTATTGTAAGGTTAAATTCCGCTTTTTCAATAAAAGTTTAGCGATTTTACCTCACCTTCTGGTTCGGATCTTTCCCTCCAAAGCTTCCTGTAGCCCCGTAGGTCTCGAACGATTTGAAAGCAAAGTTGTTGCCTTTCCTTGAAAACCAAAATTTTTTAATATTGGATTCTGTAATTACCCTTTGAGCCAATTACTGAAATCGGTCTTAAATGGCCCGTACTCGACATTCCCCTTCACGTCCTTCCCCAAAACCACTGCCAAGTAGCTCTCGGCCAGCAGCACCAGCCGCATCGTATTACCTGGAATTTCCGGATACTTTAGAGGTATCTACTAGCCTTTAGCATCATTAAATGGAAATAAAATCCTCAAATGAAAAAGTGCTTATTGAGATTGCGAAAAATCGAGAAAAATCGAAGAGAATCCAAAAAACGCTCTGGTCGTAATTTACAAAAATTGGTTGAGTTCTGAAGGGAATTAAGAAATTCAGGGTATCGGCAACGTAACTGCTCTTCATCACGTATGAGCTGTGGGTCTGAGGTTAGGAAAAAATAAAGGAATCTTCGAAATTTGTTAACTTGTCAAGATTTTTAGCTAGGTAGAAAGGTTTACGATCGCATGCATGAGCCGTTAGACGTAAAGATAAATGTTAACGTAAAACCCCTAAAAGAGGAATTTTTTGCGCACAAGCAGGTACTGTCCCACCACCTTTAGAATAACAACACATGCGTATTTGTACGCATGCGTAATTGGCGGCACCTAGACGACATTAGGCGCCGATTTCTGGCTTCTCAGCAAATGTTAGTGTTTCTTTTGTCAGATCATCTGTTAAATCAGCATATCAAGGTGATAATCCAGTCATCCAAGCGTTAAAAAGTTAAAAAATGGTTAAGTAGTTAGTAAGTTAGAGTAAATGCATTTATTATGTGTTTCTTTGGTTTGTGTTAGTTATTTTTCTTCTTCCTCCTCGCTGCTGTAGCTGTGAAGGGTCTCGAGGATGTCGATTCCGGTCCGCTTCAACTTCCTTCGGTCTTTCGGGGGAAGGGCGTGGTTGTGGAATGCCCAGATGGCATCCGCCGCTGTCTTGTCTTTCATCTCGAAGTGGGTGTAGCCACCGTACTCCTGAAATGGCATTTTACGTGGAGAGAGAGATAGAGATAGAGATAGAGAGAGAGAGAGAGAGAGGGATTGAGAGAGAGATAAAGAGGATAGAGATAGCTTACGTGGTTGCCGTCCTCGTTCGGGATGATTGAAGTCATGCGTCCCCACGTCAATGACTCAGGCCCGAGTACGTTGTCGTCTGGAATTGAAGAATTTTGACTGCGATTGAGGTATGCTGCGTGACGTTACTCTACACAAGCTACGGTACGCTTCCATACACTGTACGTGAGATACGACTGTCGTTTGAATGGAACAATTCCAATGAGCTCGAGCACCTGGGACGTGCTAGCTATCAGGTTTGAGCCCGCTGCTACACGCTGCGTTATTTCCTGCAAGGCTCTACTACGTCCTGCCCACGTTGCTAGGGCTACGCAGAGATACGGCAAGTCGCTACCGTACATTGGGGTATCTCCTTATCTCTTGATACCAAGTTTGACTTACCCCTCGAAAACAGCGAGAAGACATGTCCGGCCTCCCTCGCCTCGTTGTTGTTGATGTCCTTGAGGAAGGTGCTGTAGTGGTCGATATCCGTGCATTGTCCCTGGGTGGCAGTAGCACACGTCGTCTCCACACCTCCCCCGCATGTGTTGCCGGGCCAGAAACCGTCCTGAAACCAGAACTTCCCGTATGGCGTTTCGATTTGCTCGTAGTTTCCGAATTTTGTGCATCGTTCCTGTAATTCTTACTTACCGCAGAGCTACAGGAATGCTTGTCGGAAAGCGCCGTGCACATGCACATTCCAAAGTGGGCTCCAGCCACGCTGATGAGCACGTCAATCTTGTCGGTAAGAGCGTGGCCGAGGTCGCAGTGCTCGCCGTTGATGATACTCTGAAATTCAGGGTTTGAACAGCTTGATGATTCCTAAGCTGTGTTTAGGGAATCCTACTAAAAGTACGGCCCAAGCACTAGTCGCTGCGTTACGTCAAGTACGTCTGCTACGTCAAGTCAGAGATAGAGAGCGAGAGATAGAAAGAGACGGGTTAAATTACAAAATACAATTACTTACACTGCCTCCTTTCGCCACAAATCGTGCAATTGTCGCTCCCATAGAATGGCCGACGAGGTTCACCTTCGGCGCGCCAGTATATTCCAAAACGTCTTCGACAAACTTCCGATGGCCCTTCATCCATTCGCACGTCATCTGACTATAAAAATCGTGATAAAAAGCAAAAACTTGGCAGAAGATTTGTTCTGAAAAGCTGTAGAAACTACTGACAAAAATGTCGATAGTGTGAATCAGTCAAAAATTTGAAGGGCAGACTCACGTATCAGCAGCAGTGGCCATGTCCCGATCACCGTAGGTGATACCGTACAACTCGGCGAAGGTGTACCCCTCATCGATGTAATATCCTAGCGCTTTTGTCCAGCCATCAACAAGCATTGCCCCGGTGTCGAGGGCCGAGTCAGAGTTGCCGTGGATGAAGATGACTGGGGTCTTTGAAATCTGAAAAAATTTAGGTAAACGTTTTCGCGCCCGGGCAGATACTTTTAAGGTGCAATAATTTAACGAGAGCTATGAATTTTATAGAGTACATGGTACGAAATAACAGACTTTAAACCTCAATGAGCGCCTGAGAAAATGCAACTTTTCCGGGCTCGCCTCCCCAGGCGTAATGTTTACCTTTGTGCTTGCTATTGGACCTGCTAAAATGTACTTTTCTTACCCCCAGCGCCTATCGGGAAGTGTAAAGGGTATCAGAAAGTACAGAAATTACTAAACTTCCTAGATTTCTTGATCAGGAGAGAAATTTGGTTAGGTTAGGACGCAAAATTCGCAAAATACGCACAATTCCAAATTTTTGGAAAGTAAGGAACATTTAGAAATTTGAGATAAGACGCAGGATTTAGTAAATTTACTAAAAATCTATTCTACACCCAAAACACCGTAACGCTCACCCCTTGGCCATCCGAATCCTTGCCACCGAAGGTGCCGGTGGCCCCGTAGTTGTCGTAGGCTTCGAGAGCGAATGTGTGACCACGGCTGAACCATGTGGTTTGTGAGTTAATATTTTTATTAATGTAGGAAGCTATTTTAGCTAACAAATAAATCGGTAGCTATTTTTAGAAAATATGATATAGCAATCTCCAAATTACGCTGAGATAAGCAAACTCACGCAACAAGCCAGTCGTGGAAGTGCGACTTGAATGGGCCGTATCCATCTCCGTCAATCCGGTAGAAGGTTTTAGCGCCAAGGGCGCCAAACATGGCCACTGTGAGGAGGAGGAGCTTCATTTTTACTGAAAGACCAATTTAGAACTCTTTACAGCAAAAGCAGCATCTTTAAATATAAAAATTACGCTCTAAAAGTCGCGAAATACTACTTTGACCCTAACCCTTTAAAGCTCGAAAAATTGTATATTCCTTACGTTCCCTCCTCTCCGCCTTTAATTCTTTACTTCTCCTCGATAGTTTAGGCATAAAATAGGGAAAATAGGTAGGTTGCAAAAGTAAGAAAATACAAAAACTGCTCCGAAGTACGAAAATAAAATACGGTCGATTCGATTACGATAGGTAAATCTCGTGTTCAAGCGAATACTGTAGACCCGATAGAGGTATCACACGTTTTAGTGGGGTGAGAAATGTCAGGTTGCTTCGCTTATCACTTCAAAATAATTCCAGCAGGCGCCAATTTTCACACGTGAGTCGTGAAATTCCGATCCGGTCCAAAGAATGCCCACGTTTCTAGTCCCCAGAAACTGGAGCTATTTTCCGATTCTGGTCAAGCCGCCATCACACATCTACTCAGAAAAAGCGTGCATTGGCCACCCCTACTTTGCAGTACTTCTCCAGAAACTGATAACACCGCCCCTGGGATAAGTCCGCTCGGCGCGCGCCCGAATTGTCGCTAATTCCGATCGGAAAATTTTGTGCTCACAATCAGGACTGGGTTCGGGAGGGGTTATGTTTGCGTGAAATTTGGCTAACAAAGTGGGGGGTAGAGGCACGTGGAGCTTGGTTTCGAGTTGCAACTGATATTTTGAGGGCTAAAATGCCGACAAGACAGCATGGCCATGGCTCGATGCCAAAATTCAAGAAAAAAGAAGTCAAAAACCGGCAAGGCAAATTTCGATAGCCCAATGCAGACTTTCAGAATGTCGTTGAAACACCGACGGCCGAAAACCTCGATATCAAAAACCACCGGCACGTGAAAAATGCCGATCTCCCAGTGCCATATACAGACGTCAAAATACCGACAAGCAAAATGTCCAGAAGCGCATGCCCCGTCTCAAAATCAGCGTAAATACCGACAGCCAAAAATTTCGTTCCAACATAATCGAAAACAAACGGAAGCAGAGTAAACGGGAAAATATAATCTTCGCCTTTCCCGAAGCTATCAAGCCGGAAGCATGCTGCTCATTTGGAGCTACAGCACTCCAAACGACCCAGTTTCTGTTTCAAAATCCAGTCAATCTAATTTCCACAAAAAATTTGCCAAACTTTGGATTATTAGCGCCACGGCTTGCAGACTTCCTCGTTCCTTTAAAATCAGTATTTTTTGTGCTTAGATGACTATTTCTTACTATTTTACAACTTAATTTACATACATACACAAAAACGCGTAAAAAACATTTACAAGCCCCAAAAACGCTGAAAAGTGCATTACAGTTGTCCGACGGGACTACAGTACCGCAAAACCAAAGAATTCCATCCGTACCTGCACGTGGGCTCCCAGCTCGGCTGAAGAACGAAAATATGAACTTCCTACAAAACCGCCGACTTTTATACAGTGCCCGATGGCAATTTCGAAGCCACGCCCCCTTTTGAATATGCAAGTTCACATGGTTGTCTGGGTACTCTATTACTTTCATGGTCTCTATGGAAAGACGACGTGGACAATTCAGAGCACAATTTGGAGGCATCTTAACTTCCTTCTTCACGTACTTTTAGGTTACGGTAGGCAGATAAAGGGGTCAGGAAACTAAGAAACTGCCGGCATTCACGAAACGATCCTGGATGTCAGATGAAGTTGATTGAATAAACCTGCTCGCAGGGTAGCAGAGATTCTTGAGGAAAAACGGAGAATTCCCTAATGTACTTTTTTAACTATTAGTTTTTGGACTACGGTGCACTACTATCCAATCATACGGTGCTTAGCGTAAATTAGTAATTCAGCTTGCGGGATTTTTCGACAATCAGAAGTTTCTCCAGATGCATAGACTCTTTCCGTCTCGAGGCAAGTTGGCAAAGATCCTTTGGCAAAAAATGAGAGTGCTAACGGCCAGGAAAAATTCGTGCAAAGTCGCGAGCCGGAAAAGGCAGCTAGCAGAGTTTCTTGCCGATTAAAAACTTTACTTTTAGAAAAAGCGTTTAAGCTAAATCCGTTTCTGCTTCTAAACGTTCAATGATTCCCCATGACTACACCCAATTCGGAACACAGCTTCTCCACCTCGAACCCTAGGCCCCAACGACGCCACCACGCAATTTTGTAGCCCCGTGACCCGGCGTCTAAAAACAGACAAAAAATGGATGAAGAAGCTACAGTACCCCCCGGTTTTCGCACTCCTTTTTTGCTCGAAGCACAAAACACAGGCCAGAGAGGTTCCAGACAGCTAACCGCCTCCAAAAATCTGGCGTTGACTTACAAACGATATTGAAAATGCGCATATGGCAAGTTATAAAAAATGCCGGGTTTTTCACTGAATTATTGATGAGGTGGCGTTTCAAAAAAAATGTCTGAGCATCCCAATAGACTGTATTTTTAAATTTGTAGAACCTAGTGGTGATGAAAGTTTGGATATTAAAAAATGTTGCATAAAAATTTTGTTTTAGGGCGCGAGAGCGAGCGAGAGAGTCAGGGAGAGAGAGAGCGAGAGAGAGAGTGAGAAAAAGCGAGCGAGCGAGAGATAAACCTTATGGTAAGATATACATTGAAAACTCACGAAAAGGTTAGAAAGAACGAAAATCCCAACTCTTTAAACAATGCAAAATCCATTCTAAGCATTTCCAAAAAAAAATTAGCTGAATACTTTAACCGAACTAAAACTAAACTTTAGATTTCCACTTTTCTAAAGATCGCAAAAATTGACCTCCCCTCCACCCCTGGATTTCGAAATCCCAGCCATAAAATGAAAATGTCTCGCCGCGACAGCTTCTTCGGAAATGGAAAAATTTGGGCAAGCGGTACTTAATGTACTTCCGGAAATTCGGGATCGAGCATTCCGCCCGGTCCACTGTTCACCCGCCACTTTTATATGCTTCTTCTTATGTTGTTATTTCGCGCGCGTCTGCGCCTCGAAGGGGATGAAAGATGGGCTGAAAAACGCGCTAATACATCTCGCTGCGGGACCCATTTTTTCCATGGAATCTCAGGCGGCTTCGAGGCCAGGATGAGGATTTAATGAGGTAGATGACGTGCAAAACTGGAGGAATTACGCGATGATACGCCTTTTACGTTTGATGGTCGTCATTTGGCCGCTGCGGTGATGGGTGTGTTATGTAGCAAAATGGGCTACATCCTTGCAGAGATCCTGAACGAGGCCAGGAAGAACAGTGCGACCAAAGAACGTTTCTTCACTTTAGAAATTTGCTGTTAGAAGTGGTTACGCAACAAAAGTGGTTCCTTAATTTTTATAAAGTTTGTAATTTGAATTTTTGTCGGAATTTTGCAACGCCAATCGATAAAAATATACTAAAAGTTTTGATTTGAGCCTACAATAATGTAAAATAAAAAAGTTATAGCCAAAAACTTCCCGCTGGGGGGCGGGGGTAAAATAAAGTTTGGCCGTTTTTGCAGCAATCAATCCAATCTAAGAACCTTCTGGATTCTACGTAATTTTCTAGGAACCTGCTAGCTCCCAGACGTCACACTAATTCGCAGTATTGCCAATTTCCAGCGACGCCATTTCCTCAATAGCATCGTCAATTCATTTCTGCAAAGCATTGCACGAAATTTCCGGTCAATTAGCGCTGTTCAACCCGCAACTTGTCGACCATCACTAACAGCACAGGAAATCGGTGTCATTAGCGAACCTGACGTAGTTGTTATAAGATCGACAAACCTTTACTGTAGAACCTTGACATTCCAAACCCCAAGCTCGCCTGGAATTCGGGGCTTCAAGTTAATTACCCGCGGATTTGGTGTTCGAAATGTCGAATTTCCTGGAAACATTGTTGTTAAAGGTCCGAGAATAGGCCATGTAGTTTACAGCGCCCGATAGCTTCACCGGTTCAACTGAGACCGGAAATTGGGGAATTTACCCGGCTACAGGTAATTTCCTTTTTCCTACAAATGACGAAACTAACTGAAGCTGTCTTTCAAGCTGAAGCAAGCTCAAAAGAATAAGTAAAAGCAGAAATCGTTTGAAATATCAGGGGGAAAGCAGAAATTCTTTGAAATATTAAGAAAAACCTGTAACGCTTAAATTAATATAGTAGCGAGATCACGCTCGGCCCCGCGACGTTTAAGCAAAAAAATATATAAAAAAAGACAAAATCTATCTAGAAAATACATTTCTCCAACTAAAATGCAAAAAATTTATTATGTGGGCAGGGTGGAAAGTAACTAACAAACTGAAAAATCACAATCTGAAAACCGTCAACAATTTCGGAACTTATTGCTATAAATTCGGCAATATTAACAAGGATATCTACACAATCACAGCCAAACAAGGGAAAAGAATAACGAGAATAGCAAGCAAAAAAATAAATAAACAACTCAACTAACAAGATATTTTCAAATCAGAGGGATTTCCGGCGCTTCATCTTACTTTCCTTTATGCTTGCGGGCCTCGAAGTATTTCGGCAGGTCGATATCTAAAAGATAAAAGGTAATTCAGACAACAAAATAGAACTTACACTGAAATCCGTGCAGCTCAACGGATTTGTCTGCAGATTTTCGCTTTTCCTGGATTGGAGGAGACGGGCTGCCCGAGTCTGAAAATAGATAAAATTAAAATAAAAACGCACTTTAAAACAAGTTTCATAAAAGCAAAATCATAAATTAAAATCTTATTAACGTACCATCCGAACAGGCAGATGGATCGGTCGAGTGGGCGGGCAAGAACTGATTTTGAGCAGGTTGCTGCTGCACATCGACCACGGTCCAGGAAGACGCCCTAAAAACTTTAAATAACTAAAAAGTTCCTCCTCTAGTTCTGGACTAAAAAACAGAATTTGTAGCCGAAAAATCATAGAAAACCTAATACCAAACTGCATAATCCCGACTTCCTGTAATACTGATTTCCTTAGATCCCGAATTGTTATAACCCAGAATTTCGCAAGGCCAGATTACATACTCTCATTCTTTTTTATAATGTCGAGGGTTTTCATCCCAAACTTTTACCAAGATAAAGTTCTATGTAAAACGCCGAAATTCCCCAGCGCTAAATAGTTTCACAAAAATACGACAATTTGGCATTGCACAATTCGGTATTATGAAAATTCGATCGTATAAAAAGTCGCTGTTATGAAAATGCCACATTAAAAAAATTTTCACTATCAAAATTTCAGCAGTACAGGGTGTCCCAAAAAATCCCCCCCGGCCGCAGACGGGTCCGATTTTTACGATTTAGGTATCTATCGAAAGCTCTCGGAATGGCGAGTCCAGCACGTCTCTTCGATTTTCATAATTTGGAAATTTTTCCATCAGTTACTAATGTTTTTGGCAAAATGGGCGGATTTTCTGATGTTGTTCGGACCAGGGCCTTTTTTACAAAAATCGCAATTTAAGAATTTTTACGCTTTCCTGGCAACCCAACGACACTTTTTGAAGCCTTTGCCAAAACACAGCTTGACCGCTTAACCGGTTAAATTGCGTTTTAAACAAAAAAGTCTGTCCTTTTGGCATGAAAAATGCCGAAAATCGAGCAAAAAATTCCGACATTTCGCAAAACCGCAAGACGCTGGACTCGCCTTTCCGAGGCTTTCGATAGATACCCAATCGTAAAATCGGACCCGTCTGCGGCCGGCTAGGGGGGGGGGGATTTTTTTTGGGACACCCTGTATATCATTAATATGCCTAAATTTACCTTCGGTATCCCGAGTAAATAGGGAATTCCAGCTTCAGCGGACCACCAGCCGCATCCGGCGCCTCGGACAGTATGCCCTGCAGCCAATAGATCTTGCGCATCGCCTCGTGGAGCACTTGGAGCTGAAGGCAAAAGTTGTTTAAAAAACCCAAAAGGAAACTACCTGAGTCAATCTGCACTGCCGTGGAGCGTCTCCCACCACGACATGCTCCAACTGATGGAAGGCGTCGACGAGCTGAAAGAAAGGTTTAGGATTCGTTTCGGCACATCACGAGTTTTCAAAAAAGTAAAATTCTTGGATAACTTCTCCAAAAAAAGCCTCTGCGTTTACATCTAAAAACAAAACCTTACCTGCTTAGCCCGGTTTCGTTCTCGCGTGTTCCTTTTGAACTGCTTTTCGGGGATTTCGGAAGCGGAGCGGCGCTTCATCCGGGCACTTGCAGACGAAGCTAACGAACCCTCTAGAAAACAAACTGAGTAGCCTGCGATGGGAAAATAGAAGCGAAGGAGACTACAGGGAGAATTGACATTTTCGGTTCCCGTCGAAACTTTTTTCGGGTTTGAATCGTTAAACCAATAGTCAAATCGTCTTCAGGATCGAAAATTCGGTGGAGGAAATCTTTTTTTTTACTCCCGAAAAGCTATTTTTAATTTTCAGCTCGGGGACCGCCAAGGTTGTACGCGCGAATGCAGTTTACGGTCTGCGTCCAAAAAGTTTCGGGTCGGAATTGGTCATTTTTATTTTTTTCCCTCTTTATTTATGGTTTATTTAATTTAATCATTTTATGCATTCGGTTATGATTCGCAGCTGATGAATGGACGGCGGTGGTGATGGAGCCTACACGCTGGTTAGTAAACTAAAATTTTTATGAAATTATTGCGTTTATTATCATTTCTCGAGTCTATAGATTAGTTGCTTACGCGCCACTAGTTGTTGTTTTTATCCTTCTCTCTTTCTTTCCCCTTTCTGTGCTTCCAACCCCACAATAACGCCACGAAAAGGGCCGCCGCTTGTGTATCGACTTTTTTTCAGTTGCCTCGCCCCCGAAATGCCGCTTGCGAAGCTCCACAAATTTCTGGACCCCCAATTTCAATTACAAAATGGGCCGCTGAAGCTGCTTCAACGCTTGAAAAGATACTTTGTCTTTGAAAACTAGGTTCCACGATCCACGCGGTTGTTTTACTGAAAAAACGGCCTCTCGACAGCTTTGTTTATTTGCTCTGCAAAGCGCTGACTCCTCCCTATGCACTTACGTCTAGGTTTTTCCCTTTTGCCAGCCCCGTTTTTCAGTGGATCCGACAAATTTAGCTCTAAAACGTCTTAAAAGGTAGAATGGGTTTTAAAAAAGTTCGTTCGTCTTAAAAGGGCCGGTTTTTTCTAGACTTTTTGCAGGCTTCTCCTCGTACTTTGGACACGCCGAACCGCAACCCGGGGCCGCGATCAAGCCGAAAAACAGCGCTGGGCCAACAGGCGATACGCACAGTTGTGCCATTCCATCACGTGATCCGCCGCGTTTTGCCGCCGGATCATTTGTTGCGTCTGGGGGCCTCATTTTGTGCCAAAGAACCCTATTTCGCACCTTATTTTTGCCTTATTCGCGACGAAAACGCGAAAATTATCATTTTAGAACCGAGGCCTTTATTTACTAAAAATTGCTCCCGTTTCTTGTTGAGGAAAATTCCCCATTTTCCTTTAAAAAACTTCCCTTATTTTTTTGAAAAAAAACCCCCAAAAAAAATTACTTTCCCCAAAAACCCCCCCCTTTTTCCCCGCCTTTTAGCCAAACCCCCCCCTTTCTCCCCTTACCCTTGTTTTGCGTTTGTTCCCAAAAACCCTTAAAATTCTGTTTTCGAAAACATAATTCTTTTGGTTTAAGATAAGAATCTGGTAATCCTATTCTTCTTGGCGATTATTTTTGCTAATTATTTCATTTTTATCGGCTAAAATCCGGCCTGAATAATATCAAAGACACTTGAGCCTCTCTTAGACCAATCCTTGTCAAAAGAACTTGTTTTCGCAAATCCTCCCTCCCGCAACTACTCGATAGAGCGCCCAATAATTGTGCAAAACATCAGTTCTCGACTTTTTTTTAAAGATTTTATTACCAATGTTTCGATTTTCGACTACTCCAAGATGATTGACCCAGATTACCCGCTCCTCCAACCTTTTTGAGCTCGACAACCTGGCCCGTGTGACCCTCAAAATCTCAGACTTTTCCTAGATTTTCTCGGGGGTCTCTTATCGTGTTTGGGGTGCCAAAAGCGTGTGTGCTAGCCCGGCGGTTGCTGACAGGCCAGATTTTCGCTGTGCTAGACTTTGATCGCTACAGATTTTCGGTTTTGATCTGCTTCTTTTCCTGGAAATTGCTTTGTTTTACTTACCTTAGTTTCAGTTTTCCATTTTCTGATGTATTCCTACAAAATACTTTATTAAAGGCTTATTTTCAGATGGGCGACGGCCACGGGCACAGCCACGACCACGACCACGGTTGCTGCTGTTGGAGTTTGGCCGTGAAGGTGGCCCTTTTCGGCTTCATCTTGGTGGTTTTATGGCAAACGAAATTAAGGTGGGGTTGGATTGCTTTATTGCTTATTGTCCGTGTATTATTTTTTTTATAAAGTGGTCTTTTCTAATTCCCCATTTCCAGATATCACCTCAAGATGTTCTTCTACCTGCTGAGCCTGATCTTTGGCGGGCTAATTGGCGGCCTGATCAGCATACCCTACGGCCGGACAACCAAGAATCATTTGTAAGAGACTTCTTTTTTTGAGATTGAACTCTCTTTAGCCGGATGTTCAAAGTCTTCCAAATCATCAACTCCGTCCTGCAGCTCAACTTTGAAATTCGGCACAAGGAGCGGTTAGAATCAGAAGAGCCCTTCATCCTCATCGCCAATCATCAGAGCTGTATGGATGTTTTAGGTATACTTTCCACAACTTTTTTTTTGCGTTTAGATCTGAGGAATTCTTTTGTTGTAAATTATAAACAAATTTCTTTTATTGATTGTTTAATAGATTTTATTATAAGTTACAAATTAAGAATGTATAATTCTTTATTTCAGGAATGACGTTTGCGTGGCCCCAAAATTGCGTGGTCGTCCTGAAGTCGTCGTTGAAGTACCTGCCCGGCTTCAACCTGTGCACATATCTTTGTCATGCCGTTTATATAAACAGATTTAATAAGGTAAATTACGCCTTTTTTGATACCCGTGTGTTTAGGAAAAGTCGAAAACGACAGTCGATGCCACGGCAGCGGCTATTCGAGATCACAAGGTGGGCTTCCGCTTTCTTATCATTTTGGCTATTTAGGTTTCTTTTATATAAATTTTTTAGAGAAAAGTGTGGCTTTTCCCGGAAGGGACGCGAAACCCCGGCCCCACCCTACTACCCTTCAAAAAGGGCGCCTTCATCTTGGCCCATAATGCCAAGGTTTGTAGGTTTAAAAGTCGCATTATCTTTTGAATCTTTATGATTAAATTTATTATTCTTAATTATTAAAGCGATTTATGTTTTTTTCAGATCCCCGTCGTCTGCTGCGTGTTCTCGACGCACAAGCAGTTTTACGATTGGGTGCGTTAATCTTATAAAACATTTACATTGAAATGTTGATTTTTTAGGAAAACTATCGATTCGACGACTCGGGCCATGTCATTGGCGACATTTTACCGCCGATTGATTCGACCAAATTTGAGACGGTTGGTCAACGCTTTTGCTGTGTTTTTTGATGATTTCTGGTTCCCGAGATCTTAGAACTGATTTTTTTTAGGTAGAGGAACTCTCTGAGCACTGCCGAAAAGTGATGCAGACGAGATTTGACGAGCTGAATGTCGAGGTAAAATTTTAAGTCGAGTTTTAAAATGCCATTTTCCAGATCGGTGTTTCCGCCGGCGACAAGAAGAGCGACTAGACAGCCTGATTTTCTCCTTTAACCTCCGATTTTCAAATTGTACAAACCCATTTTTGTGACTTTTCATTCTTGTCATTTTTAACTTGTTGCTTGCTTTTTTGATTTTCCCACACGCCTAGTTTCGCACCATTGCAGTTGCTTTTGATTCGGGTGCTCAGGCATTTGCCGACATTGTGATAAATTTTTTAGTGAGTTCTGAAACGCACCAAGAATTTTCTGGTAGTGAAATCTTTTCTAAAAAACCGGAAGCAGCTGCACGTCGGAAGCGACCCGAAATAAGCAGCACTTGTTTCGACTGCGCAACTGTATGAAGAAGCTGTGATGTGTGGTTCAAGTTCGTTTTCCGCGTGATGCTCAGCGAGATCAGTGGGATAATCCACGCGCCCGCGATGATGAAGCGCTTTTCGATTGCTGTTCTATGGACTGCTGGTCAGCTGAAAACCAGAAACCATTAATTCATCGGAGTGGAAAGTGCAGGCAGTTTAGACTGGTATTATGGATAGCTAAACTCCGTTTAGGCTTTTTTAATAGGGCCGCTACGGACAGACGCCTGTTCCTTCCTCCAGCGATAATTGTATGTATTTTTAGAAACTAAAGCCTATCTCCCTGTTCGGCATTTGCCTGCATTACAAGCAAGCTATTTTTCGCCATTCTGTTAACGCAGTTCGATACAGCATAAAAATATAAAATGAGTGTGTATACAGCTCAAAATCATGTAAGTTAAGATAAAAGAGGCTACTGACAAAAATGTTCGCTCCCCCCGCTAACGAACCAGAACCGATGTATTTAGCTACATCGTTTAAAAAATTCCCTTCCTCCCCGGGCAAAGGCCGTTCAACATATTGCTGACCCTTTCGCTCCAAGCTTTCAGAAGCTTATCTACCCCCTCAAGAAAAAGCAAAATGACCCCCGGGTGCCCGCTGATGCAAGAATGCCCTGGGGTTTCGTGTGCCTTGCCAATCGTGAGTGTGTGCCATTTGGCTTGGTGGTACGTACCAAATTGTCGTGTTCGGAGGGCATACAAAGGGAAGTAAGGGGTGCGAAACCCGGGGCGCGCTTGCTTACTCATGTGGGCGCATGTACCCGATGGGAACCAGGGGTGGGTGGCTTTTGTTCAGAGGATGAACAGGCCTGTTTTCAGAGTAAGCCTCGAGTTTTTTTTGGCATTTTTGGGGTTTCTATTCAAAGGTATTTTTATTGGTAAATTTTACTTTTTCCAAGACCTCGGCAAAACTTTGGAAAGGCTTTTCAAGTCTCCGAAGTTGTTTGCGAGCCTTTTGCGCCTAAAAAGAGCGTTATTAAATCTGTGGTAAATTAATTATCTGGCTGTAAGTATCTGTAAATTTCAAAATCGGGTAAAAAGGAAAATTTCTGCGTAACCATCGAGTTTTTTGGAGTTTTTGTAGTTGCTATGGAAAGCAGCAGCGTGCTCGTAGGTTGCAACTTTTTTCCCAATAAATTCAAGATCGAACAATGTTGGTTACAAAGTTTTTCTCTGTTTTCTATAGACATTTCTAGCCAA